ACCCCTGACAGAAAATTTGTGGGGGGGGGGGGGGGTTGCTTTGCTTGTATGGAAGGAAAGTCTGAAGGCGAATGTAAATCCAATCAAATGGTTCATGTTGGCAATCCAATATTAGGCGAGTACATGACCATTCCGATGGTTAAGAAACGGAGAAGATAGTGGAGAATATTCGGCTTTTGGATTCAGTACGAGGTTTCACATGGATTGTTGCTGGTTTTTTGTGTTTTTTGATGTAACTATACTTTTTATGTGTTTTTTGATGTAACTATACCAAGTTGCCTCATTTTATTCTTAGACTGTAAGAGGATCATCTGTTTTCGTTGATGTGACAAGATTAAATTGCTTCCTTTTGTTCTTGGACTGTTCAAGGTTCATCACATGAATTGTTTGCTCTGTGATTTTGAGGAAAATTTTCTCCTGTCAGTTAAAAAAGCATGAGGGGCATTAAGAACACCCCGTAACTATTTTGATACGTACTGCTGTTGGACGACATTTTTACAACTTTTCATTATCATAGCTGTTGATTTATAGAGCTATTAATTCGAACTCACCTTCAAACATGCTCGTAAACCAGGGCATGTTCATACCCATGGAATTTCCTGTAACTCCTCTTAGACACGCCATATTCTAGCTGAAACAATGCATCGCAGAACTTTGATGATCTGATCTAGAAAAGGGTTAAAAACAATTGTCTATTAAGATGCAGAATGTGAGAGAAGATCTAGGAGCATAAATGAGAGTAGAATAGAATTTACGTCACGAGTTAAGTTAAATAGAAATATTAGTTGATTTGTTTTTAAGATATAAATCACAAGTTAAACTAAACAGAAATATTAGTTAACTCAAAATAATTTAAAATAATTTTATTTCAAAATAATTTTAAAAACATATTATAATGTTATCATTTAAAAAAATTAAAATTAAACCATATTAAATTTTAAATGGACTCATCGAAATTATCTAAATTAAATCAAATTAATTTTCATTTATTTTTTAAACTTGATATAATCAAGTCCCGAGCTTACAAACTAAGCCAAAGTAGGCAAGTTTAATAAAATTGACAACAAAATGAGATACTAGTCTAATATTAGTATTTGAAGAGAGAGAATTACAATTAGTGTGAGGTAGATTGTGTTTTGCATGAAATAATTTTGAAAGTTGACCCAATCATAAGTGGATTATATCATGAAGATCGATCAATTTTACAAAGGATATGTTATAAGAAATGTTTTTTTTTTGCGCATAAGTGGATTATATCATGAAGATCGATTAATTTTTTTTGTTAATTTTTATTAATTTTTTATATTATTTTAATATATTAATTTAAAAAAATATATATTATTTTAAAGTATTTTCAAAAAGCTATTTGAGAACATTGGGCAAACGGCGTTTCTAAAAAATTAATTTTTTTGATATATCTTGGATTTTTTTAATGTAATGATTTTAAAAGTAATTTTTTAAAAATAAAAAAAATATTTTAATATATTTTATTATAAAAATCACTTTAAAAACCAACTACAATCATATTTTCAAATAAATACTAAACAAAACATATTTTAAACCATAATTATTATAACAATCTCAAATAAATTTGTAATAAAAAAAACAATAATCTAAATTAACTTAATTAATCTTTTAATGCATTCAAGTGATAAATATCACATATAGTTTTTTTTTCACATTTTAACCAAAACACAATTGTTGTTTAGGGTTTTTTTTTTTTATTCTAAAGCTACATTGTTTTTGTTTTAAAATAACTTCAAACAATCAGCCCACAACTCGGGCTTTGTACCGTGTTAAACCTTGTACTGGGTTTGATAACCAGAGAAAACGAAAAACACCTGACAAAATTTAGAAAACTACAAAACCAACAAAATTTGGCAGGAAACCAGAACTAAGGGGTGGAAGAAATAAAAGTAATTAAATGGAAAATGAAATTTGAGTAATGGTAAAAGGAGTGCTTGATAGACCCATGAAACCATTTTGATCTCAATCACTATCAGGAGAAGGTGTCTTGATATGGTCATCGTCCACCGCCCTCTCTTCAGGAGCATCATTTACTGCTAAAAATTTAAGTGCTGTTACAACATCAGCCATTAAGGGCCTTGTAAGAGCTTCCTCTTGGAGACACATAGCTGCAACCGCAAGTGCTTGATACAGACCTCTTAGGGGATAGTTTCCTTTTAGCAAAGGGTCTGCCATTAATGCAAGCTTTTTTTTATCTTTAAATAATGGTGTTGCCTGCAAAGAGAAACGTAGTCAAGTCAGGGCTTAAGTTGTTCGGTTCTAGCAGTAGAATGTTTGTCGTTAAGTGTTTCAGGATCAGGAAAACAATAATGGAAAGTTATGCCAGTAATCTATGCCATTATCGATGAAATTTCGTCAGAGGAAGTATTTATGCAAGATACAGAAAAATGAATTGGAGAATAAAAAGTTTCTGCACATACCCAGGAAACTAAATTCTTTTCCCCAGCTGGTCTTGAACTATCGATGACTCGTCTTCCAGTGATCATCTCCAAAAACACGACTCCAAAGCTGTAAACATCGGATTTCGCTGTCAACTGTCCTGTCAAGGCATATTCAGGTGCACAGTAGCCATAAGTCCCCATCACCCTGGTGGATACATGTGTCTTGTCCCCGGTCGGTCCAAGCTTTGCCAGCCCGAAATCTGAGAGCTTTGGGTTGAAATTCTCGTCTAATAACACGTTTGATGCTTTGAAGTCACGGTATATTACTGGAGGATCTGCTGATTCATGCAAGTATTCAAGGCCTCTTGCAGCCCCTTCTGCTATTTTAATCCTAGTATTCCAATCCAACGGATTTTTATCTGGGGTCAAATCTGAAAGAAAAATCCAGCTGAGTAGTGTAAAGTAAACTAGCAAGAAACAGGAACCTAATCTCTGACAATGATGGAAATGCTGCACCACAGGAACCGAATCTGTTTCAACCTGTAATCATCTATGCAATGAACTCTATCCTGTATGGAAAAAGATCAGTATGTCCGAATGAAGTTGCTATTTTAATTCTAGTATTCCAATCCAATGGATTTTTATCTGGGGTTAAATTTGAAAGAAAATTCCAGCTGAGTAGTGTGAACTAGCAAGAAACAGGAACCTAATCTCTGACAACGATGGAAATGCTACACTACAGTAACCGAATCTGTTCCAACCTGTGATCATTTATGCAATGAAATCTATCCTGTATGAAAAAAGAGCAGCATGCCCGAGTGAAGTTGCTTCATACATACCAAGAAGGTGATCCTCAAGGGAGCCGTTAACCATGAACTCATATACTAAAATCCTCTGGTCACCATCAGCACAATATCCAACCATGTTGACAAGGTTAGGGTGGTGAAGAAGACTTAACATCAAAATCTCTATAAGAAATTCTCTGTTTCCTTGAAATCCATTCCTGTCTAGTTGCTTAACAGCGACAACCTAAATTGAAATAAAAACAACATCAGAGCTTCTTTTTTTGGCTTGGAAGTTAAAAGCAATGGAAGACATTTAACATCATACAGCAAGAGTAGTACTTGGTTCGTTTTTTCAATCAGCCCTTTGTATACCCTCCCAAAACCGCCTTCGCCTATCAGGTTTTCATTGTTGAAGTTCGTGGTTGCAGTAGCCAACTCTCGGCATGTGAAAATACCAGCAGATATATTGCCCTTTCCAATTTTCTTGATTTCTTCATTTATGAACCTTTTTCTGCTGCTATCTGTGGAGAAATTATGCTCAATTTAAATTAGACTCTTTGAAGTTGTGTTCAAAATATAAATATTCTTGTAACTAACTTATCACAAGTTGGAGAGTTAAGCAAAATGTCCTGATTCGCTAATGCCAAAAGATTACATGAACCATAGTAGTTAATGTCTGAGTATGAATTAGTGACAAAATATTAAAAACAAGTATGCCTAATTATAACATCTTTGCTAATGTCTTCAATAAATGAAAATTACTTTCCAAAGAAACTAAAGAGGACTATTTTATCAAAGAAACATTGCTGATGAATTTACAATATGGGAACACAGCAATTTGGCAAAGAAAAACACATTATGAATGCAGTGTCGCCAAGCATGGAACTTGGCATGCCATTTTCAATTTTTCATTTTAGTCTCCTGTGAAAATAAAATGTGATTTTTACTACTGGGACAGGCTATATCAGGAGCACAACACAAAGCACATAAGAACACCATCCAAAGGGGATGAACTGTGCCTGTATAAATGTGGATTGACAGCAATCAGATCTAGGCTGTGGGATAGACAAATTACCAGTCTTCTAAATTGTGATGAAGAATTCATGCTTTCTTGAACTCTAAGAATCGATCGTTAGAACAAAACAGCTTACCTGTCTTGAATGAAATGTTAGCATACGAGGCTAAAGTCTCGGCATCACGGTATTCCTTGATGCTTTTTTTCAATGCCTTTCTCCCTAATCTTTCCTTTGACATGCAGCATTTAAAGCAACCCATCTGGGCTCCCAGCCAGAATAAAAACCTGTAAGGAATTCTTAGAAAGATAGTCAGCACAGGGAGCTGTTGATATCGATCTCAAAATCTAAGCCTAATGCACAAGAAAATACACGTCTGGTCTTTTCAGGAGACAGGAGATCATGTGTGCCTTTTTGTCTATAATTTATATCAAAGCCCTTCGAGATATTGAAAAGGAAAAAACTTGGTCAAATTTTTACTAATTCTTACGAAAAGATTGGCCATATTTTTTTGCATAATAACCTACCTTATTAGCAAAATGGGCGTTTTGACGTGCCTTTCTTTGACTATATCTCTGTTTGATTCACAAATTTCCTCCAATGTTAGGAGTGCTAGAAGGGATTGTGAGCTATTTTTTCTCGAAGTTTTACTGCGGCAAACCATCATGATTTTACTTGTTTACTAAAATTTTTTTGAACTTTTTCAAAAAAAAATTAATATAGGTATTTGGATCAGCTTACGTGTAACACGATTAATTTTACGGGTCCTGAAATTAACGATCATATAAGTCTCTAGTGGTTGAGTAACAAAGAATTTAAACCTAAAATTATAAAAAAATAAATCTTTTAATTTCAAATTCTTATCGCTTCATCGCTGTCTAAATGATTTCTTAAATTTACTACTTTTTCAAGGCATTGATGGCCTAAATGGATACCCTTATACTGTATACGGATCCTCATGTTTAATGTAATGCAATGCAATATAATGTGATCAAACGTTAACATAATAAAAAATGTAATTGAATGAAATGGGGTCCTTGATTGTCATTTTTTTTAGAAAAGGTGGCCCACTCCCACTCACAATGCTGCTGGGCCAAATTTTTTTAGTATAAAAAAAATATATTTAAGTATTGTTCATGTATTTTTAAAAAGTAAAAATATATTTAAGTATTATTCATGTATTTTTAAGAAGTAAAAATACTATAAGGTCTGATTCTAGTTTTTATAGTATATACTTGTGTTTAAGTTCTACATCATCTAGATTCTAGATATATAATATTCTCTTATAATTTATTATATTTTTATCTTATTAATATAAATATAAAAAATATTTTTCTCTTATTAATATTTTATGAAACTTTTCTTATTAATATTTATATAAAATATATTTATCTTTTATTAATATTATTGAATGAAATAACTTTTTAGCTTCTCACTCAAGTAAAATAACCTGATTCATAAGATATAAATATCACTTGAATTATTGAGATAAATAATTTATAATTTTTTTCATTTTTAAAATGTATACATGATATCATCTTCTTACATAATATTTATTTTATATCCAAAGAAGAACAAGCAACTTTATTTTTAGAATTTAATTTTTTTTTATGTATTTGTTACTCTTTATAGAGGAATATTAACTTAAACATTAAGCGTCCTAAAAATCTATAAAAAAATAAATGTTTTGAAGGTCTTAATTAGAATTTCTACATCAAGCCATTACATTCTTTAGCTATAATATAAAAAATAAATAAAATAAAAGGAACACATGATTAAGCTTGTTATCCATCAACCAAAATTTTTTATTTTTAAATATCTTAGATTTTAAAACATTATTACTCTCCCAAAACACACAATCTATCCATGGAATCATCTTATATAATTAAGAAAAATAAATTTTTATATAAAACATGTAAACCACTGGTTTTCAATTAACATATAATAATTAATTGGATGAATTTACAAAAATTACCATAAATCTTCCAATCCATTTATAGATATTATGATGATGATAGTGTACGTATTTGCCAAACAGAACTTGCAATTCTATATTTGAAATATTCTTTTTGAGAAAATAATAAAAATCAGGGAATTAATATTAGACTTTTTTTATATACTTAAATAATTAAAAATTTTATTTAGTGTGTTTAATAATATATTTTTTTTCACCCTATGGAAGATGAGAAGTGCTTTCGTTGTTTTTCTAAAAAAACATATAACTATTTTTAATTATATCCGGTTTTTACTGATAAAACCAACCTTTTATTTTGTTAATTTAAGGAATTGCTAATTTAGGTTATTAAAAGAAATCGTTTTTATAATTCTTGTATCTTTGGGACAATTAATTGAAAATATCCAATTATTTGTGACAATGGTTGTAAGCAATTCTAGAAGACTTGCAAGACTCAAAGAAATATTTCAAACAATTGGAAGTATTATCTCTCTACATGCATCCTTCATTAAAATTGAATTATATCATTTTCAACATGCCAACTTTCATTTTTTCACTTCTAATTATCAAAGAACCTCTAAAGATATACCAACAATTGTTTTAATTATTTGAATTCCTCAAATAATAATAATTTTTCTATATATATATATAGAGAGAGAGAGGGGGGGGGGGGTTAACCTAAAAAAGAGGCTGAATTGAAAAAATAAAATAATAAAAAAAGAAAGAAAGGAGGAAGCTTCATGATGACTTGATGACTCCCAAGTTTTAACCACAGAAGGAAGAGGCAATCACTATAAAAATATTATTTTGTCAAGGCTATACAATATTGCGAAGAATGGGTCAATAACAACCCAACAACATCTCATTTATAAAATTGAGTATTTCATATTATTTTAAATTAATCTTTCAAATTTTTTTCACCTTTTTCATAATTATAGTATATTGTTTATATGTTGTTACCCATTGAAAAGGTTATTATTGTAATTCTTGGCAAATCTATAAGAAGATGATGTACTTTTAAAATTTATTAAGAGTTGTTAAAAATAATTAGGGCTTCGTTGCTAAAAACAAACATTTCAGAAAAAAGAAATATATACGTAATATATAATCATGGTAACAATAATTTCCATGAAAAAAAAACTTTATGATACCATTTGGAGCACTGAAATCAAATTACAGAGCAAGTTAATGCTTCCTCATTCTTGATGGAAAATCTTGAAGAATCGATTATGCTGCTTCATCATGCATTTAAAAATATAAAAATATTGTATTAGTGGCTGATTGTTTTAATTTAAAATTATAAAATTATAAAATTATAATTTTATTATTTCAATCTAAATTTAAAAATAACAACAACAATAATATATAAATACTAAAAGGTATAATTCAATTAATCAAATTATAAATTTATTTTTTTAAAAAATATTAATTAAAATTTCATGAATACCAGAATCATTAAAAATTTATATAATTATTAATTTTAAAATTTATAAAATTAATTAAAGTGAATATAAACTTATCCAATAATTACCTTAATCTAAAAAAGAAAATAATACTTAAAGGGGAAGATTCACGTTTTAGTCCCTGAAGTGTAAAACGTTACATTTTAACATAGAATTCTAACAACCATGATCTATCCAGTTGTGCAAGGCATGGAGATTTCACAAACCAACTCTTTGTGGTGTATAAATTAATCTCATAATTAATTCCAATTATTAAGTTTTACTGCTAGTATTTTATTTAAATTATAAAACAATTGAAATAAAGAAAATAATATATGATGAAAATATTTAAATCCAGTGACCGACAGACAAAAGTGGAGGAAGGAGCTTTGACTAAGCAACCCAAGAAAGCCATTCACTGCCCCACTTGTATTAAAAATAACTATCCATGTAAAAATTTCTGGTCTTTGGACATTTGGGAATTTCAGAAAACAAGCCATGGATTCACAACTGAGAAAGCTGGTAGCGGGTCTTTTTCTACTGACGGCAATCTTTGTCTCTGGTGTCAAAGCTTGGACAGGTGAAATACACGGAAGAGTTGTTTGTGATGTTTGTGGTGATTCTTCCATCGGACCTGAAGATCATGTTTTAGAAGGTCCCTCCCTCACTCTCTAACTTGGTTTTAGTTTAATTTTTGAAATGGGCTTTTTTTTTTTGTTTCTTGATGTGTGAAAGTTCAATTCTTCATGGGTTTTGAGGGGATGAGTGATGACTTAATGGATTGGTGATTATAGTGATGGTTTTGTGCTAAAAATTGTTCCTTTTTTTATCATTTGATGGTTATTTATTTATTGCGAGTTCACGTCCACCAGTTAACTAAATCTCAATTTCAAAGCAGTCGGGGTTGGTGGAGATGTATCCATTTTGTTCTTTCTTTTCTGTTTCAGATCCATATAGCTTGTTTATTAGTGTGTAATTGGATGTAGTCGGTTCTGTTTGTGAGTGTAGTAGGACAAAGTTGATACAGATTGTTACTGGGGAATGATGAAAATATGTGTTTTTTTTTTTTCGTTTTTGTTAGAAATATATTGTTGTATTGCTGTGATCTCGAGTCACTTTGCTCTCTCTTTGTGCATTAGCTACATCATTAGTGTGGTGATGGTTTGGCCAGATGTTTTTGCAACGTAAGGTAGTGTTATCTACACTCTAAGACTGTGTTTTGGGAGGTTATGTTCTTTGTAGTTTCTATGTGATTATGATATCTGCAATTGATTAATCTGTTGGCAAATAGCTATTAGGGGTTTGTGGGTAACCTGTGCATTTCTTAATATTGACACCTAAATTATGGAGTTTTCTAAACATTGTTCCCTTTCACCCCTCTGCAGTTGCTGGTTTGTCTTTGTTTTGTTGATGTAACGATACCAAGTTGCTTCATTTTATTCTTGGACTGTAAAATGCTAATCGATGAACTGTTTTCTCTTTGATTTTGTGGAAAATTTGCTTCTGCCATGTAGGGGCATTAAGTAACACCCCAATATCTTTTTGGTATGCACTGCAGGTGGATGGCATTCTTTCACTGTCAACTTTTATTATCATCACTGTTGTTGTGTAGGGATATTAATTTAAATTCTCTTGTCTATTATGTGTACCTTGAAACATGCTTTTAAACCAGGGCATATTCATACCCTTTGAATTTCCTGGAAACTTCATTCTTAAGGTGGGCTGTACCTTGGGTACCGTCAAACACTCAAAAAGCAATTTAAGGTTCCTGGAATCCCAGGGTGACTTCACTTCATTTGATGTTGCCAAGGGCTACAGCAGATGACTATTTTGACTGCCATCTTTGACAAAACATCAAATTTGTGAAGCAGTGATGGTTAATATTATTGATTGTATTTAATTAAATTGAATAAGATGTAAAATGGGGTGATTTGGCTTGCCTTGATGCAGGCGCTGAAGTAGCTGTCCTTTGCATAACGAAGTCCGGGGAAGTTCTAAACTACCAGGCCTTCACAAATGATAAGGGGATTTACACTGTGGCAGAGACCATGTCAGAGAGTGACCGTTGGGATGCATGCCTCGCGCGACCTATCAGCAGTTTCCATGAGCACTGCACCCAACTAGGAGAAACTAGCACAGGGGTGAAGTTCAGTTATAATCGTCCATCTGGATTTTCTCACAGAGTCAAACCTTTTGTCTATAGCCCTGCCAATGTGCCAACATACTGCATCTAGATGTTAGTTATCTTGTATATTCACAAGTTTCAGTTTGTTATATCTAGAAGAAAAATAGAAAGATCAGATTAGTTTGTTCGAAATTCCATGGTGCATCTATGCAAGGACTTAGTTAATAGGTCAGTGCTACTGCTGCATTCAGAAGGTTTATAAAGCCAAACTCTAATTATGTTTGTACTAGATTTTGATCACTGTTGCACTGTAATATGCATACCCTATTCTGGCTTGCCTGAGTTTCTTCATTATCATGAATAGCATTTAGTGGTGGAATGGCCTTGGCTAAACGCAGCAAACGATTTCATGACTGTGTAGCTCTCAACTGTCGTCCAATCAACCTCCGACATCTCATAGAACATGACCACCCCTGTGGTTAAATCAAGGTGTTCCCACACTAGTCATGATCACACTTGTTAAATCACTCTTGTTAAATCCGATCTGACTTGACTGGTGAGGTTGCTAGAAAATCTGCTTTGATCCAGATTGAAGTTGAACTGGAGTTAAATCTAGTTGACCTAGTTTGACATGAGCTAGTTGACTTGTAAAAGAAAAGGATTTGAACCCTAACAAAAAACCCTTCATTCCCTCCATTTCCCTTCCCCGTCCATCAATGAGAAGCCAAAGGAAAACAGTCTTCATGAGCTGAAACCCAGAAAGTAGTAACACAGCGGAATCAAAATGTTTAGTGGCTGAGCTGCCCCATGGTTTGATAATGGACATGTTATCAAGATTGCCGTCTAGTCAGCCCCTTGTCAACTGTAAGTTAGCATGCAAGACCCTTATTTTGCCAAAATCCATATGGCAAGATCATCAACTACTTGATTCAAAATGATTTTTCATTAGAAAAAAACTTTTGTTACTGACTGGGATAGTTGAAGAAGTCGCCAGTAAGAGTTTGCAGATCGATTAAACACAAACTTACCCGATACTAATTAATACCCTAGCCGTAAATTCTTGCAGGGGGGGGGGGGGGGGTGGGGTGTTGTCGACTGGTGCG